CCTGTCCCCACTGGAATTTCTTCATGCCCCCCAATTTGGGAACCCATGGTCTAGCCCCACCCGCCCCCTGTCCGTCTGTCCCCTGCCCTCGTCCAGCCCCGGCCCCTTCCCCCGGTGGACTCACAGGTGTCGAAGTAGGACTGCCCGTACGCCTCTTTAACCTCTGCAGGGGTCCGGTCCCACACCTCCTGTATCATGTCCGTGACCTTCTGGACGTTTAGGATGGGCGTCTGGAAGGCGCCCGGCTCTATGATGCTGATCTTGACTCCGAAAGGAAGGAGCTCCCGCCTGGAACAGAACGACGGGGTGTCACTGAGGGGTGGGGGGGTTCCTGGGCCCTGCCCCCCCCCTCCGCACCCAGAGGCGCCACTCAGCCGGCAGGGAGAACAGAAAGTTGATTAATTCACAGGGACACAGAGCAGACTTGTCAGCACAGGCACCGGGAGCTGTCAGTGCTATCCATCTTGGGGAGAACAGGCCCAGCGCCAGGGCCCTGGGCATGGGCGGCCGGTATGCTAGGCAGGGAGAGGCCTTGCCTTCCCAAAGCGCCAGCCTGGCCCCGCCCACGCTCCGCCCCCAGAGCGCCCACGCTCCGCCCTCAAACCGCTAGCCTGGCCCTGCCCACGCTCCGCCCCCAGAGTGCCCACGCTCCGCCCCCAGAGCACACACGCGGCGCCAGAAACACTTCAAATCCTCGCGCTGCGTCCGCTCGCCCCACCTGTATCATGTCCGTGACCTTCTGGACGTTTAGGATGGGCGTCTGGAAGGCGCCCGGCTCTATGATGCTGATCTTGACTCCGAAAGGAAGGAGCTCCCGCCTGGAACAGAACGACGGGGTGTCACTGAGGGGTGGGGGGGTTCCTGGGCCCTGCCCCCCCCCTCCGCACCCAGAGGCGCCACTCAGCCGGCAGGGAGAACAGAAAGTTGATTAATTCACAGGGACACAGAGCAGACTTGTCAGCACAGGCACCGGGAGCTGTCAGTGCTATCCATCTTGGGGAGAACAGGCCCAGCGCCAGGGCCCTGGGCATG